AAATGAATGAACTTGAGCCCACCCAAACGGGCCCCACCAAACGGGCCCCACCCAAACGGAGCCCACCAACCCAAACGGGCCCCACCAAATGGGATGAGATAACCAGCAGACGGGCCCCACCATGTGAAAAGAAATGAATGAACTTGAACCCAAACGGGCCCCGACAAATGGGCCCCACCAAACGGGCCCCACCAAACGGACCGCCCACACCGCAAACGAGCACCACCAAATGGGATGAGATACCCAGCAGACGGGCCCCACCAAATAGGGGATGGTATAACCAGCAGACGGACCCCGCCAACAGAGGGGATGAGATAACCAACAAACCGGCCCCACCCAAACGGGCTCCACCAAACAGGCCCCACCAAACGGGCCCCACCAAACGGGCCCCACAAAATGAGCACCACCAAACGGGCCCCACCAAACGGGCCCCACCAAACGGGCCCCACCAAACGGGCCGCCCACACTGCAAACGAGCACCGGCCAAATGGGCCCCACGAAACGCGCCCCACCAAACGGGACCAACCGAAATGGGCCCCACCAAATGGGCCGCCCAAACGGGCCCCACCCAACCGGGCACCACGAACCCAAACGAGCACCACCAAATGGGATGAGATAACCAGGAAACGGGCCCCGCCAAACGGGCCCCACCCAAACGGGCCCGACCCGAACGGGCCCCACCCAAACGCGCCCCACCAAACGTGCCCCACCCAAACGGGCCCCACCAACCCAAACGGGCCCCACCAAATGGGATGAGATAACCAGCAGAAGGGGCCCCACCAAGCCGGCCCCAGCCAAACGGGCCCCACCGACAGCAAACGGGCGCCCCCCAAACTGTCCCCACCGACCTACTTTTTCCAACCCACACCATTTGCCACCCCAACACGCAACAAAAGCCCATAATGAATAACCCCCTCCCCAAACCCCCGACCACCACCGGAATTTTTTTTGTTTTGGTCGACACGTACATTGCGACGTGTCGAACACCCCCGCTTCGACAAAATTGCAAAAAGGGGGTGGGTTTTTTTTTTCCGGTGGGTCATAGGGAACCAAAAGTGACCCCCACTGAAAATTACTTTTTGTATTTTTTTTCGGTGCGCAGGCCTAGGGACGCCGATGCGCCGCCGGGAGCCGTTTTCGGAATTCCGAACGGACCTCCCTATCGGCCGCCACGGGTCCGCGCGTCCGCGCGTCCGTGGATGTCCGCCGCCGAGGTGGATACATAGGCAGACAGCAGTGACAAGCACCAAGGCTGGGCCAACCTCCCAGCCCTGATGGAAGCGGAAGCGGACGAACCTTGCCGTACGGGAACTTCGAACGCCAGGCTCATGCAATCTTCTGCAGGCCCAATTCAGAGAGTCTACCCAGCACGATTACCTAAGCAAGGCAGGCCAGCGCCCGCGGACACATCCTACCGTCCT